CTGCTTTAAGACATGCATCAACCAACAGCCCCTTCTAGGAGCACACTGCTTCAGTGCCGCCAGCCAATGCCTAGCATGCTGTGCTCACACAGTCGAGTCACTCCTGCTTTTCTAAGTGAACAACTGTTGTCACTTTGTAAACTGTATTGCTGTGGAATAATCCTTCTGCACAGTGAAGATGTGTGGCTCTCATTGTTTTTTTTTTTAAATATTTATTTTTATTATGTATACAATATTCTGTTTGTGTTTATGCCTGCAGGCCAGAAGAGGGCACCAGGCCTCATTACAGATGGTTGTGAGCCACCATGTGGTTGCCGGGAATTGAACTCAGGACCTTTGGAAGAGCAGGCGATGCTCTTAACCACTGAGCCATCTCTCCAGCCCCCTCTCATTGTTAATAAAAAGCTGATTGGCCCATGGCTAGGCAGGATTTTCAGGGCAGAGAGAGTGCTGGGGAAAATGAGGGTGGGGTCAGAGACGCCATGAGACTCAGAGCGAGCAGGATGGGAATTACGCACATGAGGTAAATGAGCCTCGGGGCAACACACAGATTAATAGAAATGGGTTACTTAAGTTTTAAGAGCTAGCAAAACAACAACAACAAAAAAGCTAAGCTAAGCTATCAGCTGAGTATTTGTAATTATTAAGTCTCTATGTGGTGATTTGGGGAGCAGCTGGTGGGACAGCTGTCAGCAGTCTAGACAGAAAACTCCACTTACACTGAGTTTTTACTTAGGGTCTTACTCTGGCTTCCAACTCTATGTAGACCATACTGATCTCTAACTCACAGATCTGCCTGCCTCTGCATCCCAAGTAAAGGTGTGCCCACCACACCCAGCTGTCTCGCCTCCTTTTTTAAGTCTTTAACATGCTAGAAACTAAACTCATGCCAGGCAAACACTACTCTCACACAGGCTCAGGACAAAATGCAAAATTTCCTCAGGACTGGCCACAGGAAAACGTGGCGTATAGCCAGGACCGCTGCGGAGAATGTTTCCAGGACTGTTGATGCAAGTGGGGCCTTATCCTGGGGGACAGAGTTGGGCAGATCCTGGGATTCAAGGGGTGAACCCCAGCAGGCTGGGAACATATCCCTAGCAGCTGTAGATGGAATCCAGGGGCTGGAGAGTATACTCCAGGGGCATGAGAAGGGACTCATGAGCATGTAGTTGTACTCCTGGAGCCTGGGAGTGAATCCCAGCTGACGAGGGTGAACACCTGGGGTTAGTGAGGAGCCTCCTAGCTTTGATGGGTGGGTGGACCTGGAACTAGTTGCAACATCTGGGGAGGCCCAGGGGGGTGCAAAGGAAGATGCAGAAGGGGCAGGAAAAGACCACTGGACAGGGTGGGGATGGGGGCTAAGAGGCAATTCATGAGCAACAGTGGGAACTGCTTGATTGGGTAGGATAGGGGCAACTTCACCTTAACGTACAACCGGAGGAAGAACTGCTTAGTCTTGGAAGGTTGCAGTGGGTTTAGATATGTTCTTGGCCTTATTAATCTCCCAGCCAAGCTGTGGTCTCATAGGGCTTGGCTCCATGGTCCTCGATCCTCTGCTCCTAGGCGAACACGAAGCAGTTGTGTGACACGTTCTCTGTAGTCTCGGGAGGCTGATCTGAAACAGCAGTATCTGCTGGTCCATTTCCACGTCCCTTTGCTTGATCAATGGTGGTCCTGGGCAACCTTTGTAAACATTACCTCCACCCTGACCTAGGTAGTGTACAAGCCTCCTTGGCAACTCTCAGGGCCAAGTGGGTCTGTTGTTTCTTTCCTTGGATATGGGCCAGGTAGCTGTCCTCATTATGCAGTGTTGTGGGATTCCGATCCATTTAACCAGACTTTTGGGGCAAGCCCTACGGCTGTGGGAGAGGGGTCGCTCGCACGCTCTCTTATGACAGAAGCCAGGAGTGGTTGGTCCCCATCTCTGGATTGAACAGCAGGCAGAACACAGAAGCTGGATTGCATCATCATCTAATCTGTTCTGTATCAGTGTTTCTCCCTATCTTATACCTAAATAAATTCCTGAGACCCTTTAACAGACTCCTGTGGGTTTGCAGCACCAAGCACTCATAGGATGTCAGGTATTTGTTCGTAAAATGCAGGACCTTGTAGATGCTGGTTTGTAGGTTGCTTTGGGTGCTAGGTTGATGCTGGAAGAGCACAGTGAAGACCTGGAAGGGACAGCGGATGGCTAGAAACTTGCTGAGACAGGACTGTCAGTAGTTTGATGATAGCCTGAACTACAAGGTGACCTCCAGGCCAACCTGAGCTGTAGCACCCTGTTTCAAATACTATTATCTCAACTGATTATTCCTATTGTCCAACCATCACAAAGTACACAGTTCAAGTATCTGGAAGAGTCATCAGCATTTGCACTTAATGAACTATCTTTGATAAAGTCAGAGCAAGGAAACGACTGTAACTGAGAGCCTTGATATTATTTATCTTGTGTGCACACACAGATGTGGAGGTCTGAGGGCAGCTTGTGGGAGTTGCTTGTCCATCCACCATGTGTTTTGGGAATCAAGTCAGGTCATCAGACCTGGTGGCCAGCACCTTAACGAGCTGAGCCATCTCAGTGGCCCACATCTAAAGACTTTTTCCCACCTCTGCAGAACTAGGAACCACCAGAGAGAATTTGGTGCAGGAGTCCAGCAGCCAAGAGCTGCTTCGCACACAACTATACTTCAACAGGGCAAGGAAAGACAGTGAAGAGCTTGCAAACAGATAGATGAACAAGTACATCTTCCCAGATGTCTGACATGAAGTTCTCAAACCTAACACACCTCGCTACACTAAAGCAAACATTCACAATCAACAGAATTGGGACATTTTTGTTGTTGAAATCAACAGGCTGCCTCATAGTCCATGTCCCCTAACATTTGCAGCAATCCTCTTAAATCAGCCTCTCCAGGCCCTTGTGTTGGGGAATATTATTTTAAGGTGTGTGACTTTTGTTTATGCTGCATTTAACTCTGTGAAGCTGTGATTCTTTGCCCGTCTAAAACACCTGATGGGCTACTAAAGTACCGAGTGGCCGATAGCCAGGAAGGTGCAGGGATAGGTGGGGCTGGCAGGCAGAGAGCAGCAGAGATAGAAGAAGAGCAACAACAGAATAAGAAGTGGACATCAGGGTCAGCCACCCAGCCAGTCATGGAGAAAGAAGGAAAGAAATACAGAAGTTCAAAAAGATAAAAAGTCCAGAGGCAAAAGGTAGACAGGATAATTTAAGAAAAGCTGGCAAAACAAGCCACGCTGAGGCTGGGCATTTGTAACTAATAAACCTGTGTGATTTATTTGAGGGCTGGGTGGTGAGACCCTCAAAAAGACAAAAGAGTAAAACATCAAACAGTCATGATTATAGGCATGAGTCACCACTTCTGGTTACTGGAACCTCTTTACTCAAAGTGGTTATCTTCCAGCGTTTATCAAGGCAAACCCCCAAACTATCATTGGACATAGAGGGAGGCCCTGAGGTAGGATGGTTATTTTGTGGAATCCTAGACAGAAAATCTTGTCTGGATTAAGAAAAAAGTCCATCAAAACATAATCTGCTTTCTGGACACAGTGCTGATCTCTTCTGGATGCACATTCCTGAGCTGCCCCTACTGAACAAGGCAGCATTCAGCCCTTTGTACAGTGAGACAATGACTCCAGAAAGAAAAGACAGGCTATTTATCAGTGTCCTAAATTCTAACCCCGAGATCTGAGAGCAGCTCAGGCCTAGTGCCCTCATCACCACCTGAGGAGGAAGGGGTCCTGATAAAGGGCCATCTACACAAACCTTCCAACAGTTCAAAAGAGCACGGTGAATCCACTAAGGTGATTCCTCCTTGCCAATGAGGTGAGGTTCTGTCCTCAGAACCTCCAGGTCACGCCCCACACCTCCGACACAGGTACTACTTTTACTTCAAAACACTGATACAAAGAGTCTTTTAGAGCAAACACCTATGAGCAAAAATCCTTTATGCTAGGAAAGTATCACCCTCTAAAATGGGGCTATATTTACAAATTTTATTTTTTTATCTCAAAAATACATATAAATGAAAAGCTGCTCTCCAAATGTGACAGGCCTTTACCTATCATATGGTATTATCTCTATCACAAACACTGTCATATGAAAATCAGCACACAACTCCGAAACACACCATTTACAGGCACACATACTGTAATGAGCTCCTTTCTACTTACACAGACTGCAGGTGGGAAGTTCAGAAGCTGGGCTGCCCTTGCTTTCCATCTTTGGGAAGTAAATACAAACCCATGTCAAAGATGGAACCAAGATGTGGAAGCTACACAAGCTCCTTTAGACACACTACACACACACACACACATACACACACACGCGCCCTGAGGCCACAGCAAGGCCTTGCTACAAAGTCAACGCCAGGGTGTTTCTCAAAGAGAGGAAAGAGATAACATTTGAATAAAAATGCAAAGCTGAAGAAAAAGAACAGATGATCAAAACAGTTATACTGCTGAGCGGTGGTGGCGCACACCTCGGCTTTAATGCTGGCAGGGGCAGGCGGATCTCTGTGGGTTCCTAGTTCCAGGACAGCTAGGGCTGTTACAGAGAAACCCTGCCTCAAAAAAAACCAAAAATGGTTATGTCTGTTTCCTGGGGAAATCGGGAACCCTCGTAGGACGCAGCTCCACAACCCAGTGCAGGACAGACACCAGCACCCGATGGTAGAAGCCGTGACCTCCCCACACAGTCATGTCTATACAGGCGTCTCAAAGTGTCTGTTTAGCTTAGACAGTCAATAATGAGGCCATGTGGTAAACTGTCACTTCCAAAAAACGAAGCGCAAAATCAACCTCTATGACTCAAGAGCTGATCCAGGTCAAAGCTTTGGTATATGCTGGAGGTTGTTTTGGTGACAACCAAAGCTTACTAAGATTCCCTGCTCTAGGATTTGTCCCCAAAACAAAACTCCTGGTCCACAAAGCTCAACGACATATAAATAAGAAACTGTACAAAGAGAACAAACAAGCCACAATCCCATCCAAGGGCTTAGTTTCCTGTGCAGCAGTTCGGAAGGCACCCACTACAGCCACACACTTTGACCAAAACTCGACATGCTGTAATTGGTGAGACTGTTCTGAAAACAAGTGCCCACAGGCAGGCAGCTGCTGTGTCAAGTTCAACAAAATACGAAGTGAGAGTTCTCATACTGCAACACAAGCTGGGCAGCAACAGAGGAAAGACTTAAGGCAAGAAGAGGCGCTGGAGAGTCAAGCCCACGGCCTCCAGCAGGAACAGTTTCTAATAGTGGGGGTGCTTCTCAGTTGCTAGCTGTCAGACACCATTTCCTCCTCCTCATCATCCTCATCTTCCTTCCTGTCTAGTTCAGAGGTGTCTGAAGACTCATGGAGCAAGACATATTCTCTGCTACTGAACCCAAATTTAAGGACATCTTTTTCTTTCAGTTCGTAGTATCTCTGTGGCTCAATACGCTTGTTGTTCAAGAAGGTTCCATTGCCTGAGCCGAGGTCAATGATGTAGGGTTTCACCCTCCGACCAACTGTGCCATCAGCACGCGTGTACTCCACAAGCCTAGAAGAGACCAGGGAGAGAAGCCTGTGAGCCATGTCCTGCCAGAGAGCAAATACTCTGAAGCTCGCTACTACAGATCTAGATGTCACCGACTTGGCTTGAACGTGGATCAAATGCAAACTATGGGAGGTCACGGAGAAGTACTGCCCTGGCTAGGGGAACTGGGAGCAGTTTACATTTACCCGAGAGAAAAGCTAGAGGGCTGTGAGTGGTAGGTGGGGGTGGAGGGCCATGAAAAATCCCAATGTAGAACTCAAGACTTTTTGCTATGGCTACACATATACCGTACATCTATTTTAGCACCAGTCCAAATGAGGAAAAAACATTAGAATTAGAACTTGAGAGTCAAGGGCTAGATATGAGATGGAGTTCTGCTCTGAAGGTCATTTGTACCATCAGCTGACTGTGCTGAGCTACAGTTTTCTCAGCTGTCAAATGAGGATGCTAACCCTGGTCCTTTTTTCCCCACAGGAGTGTCAAGGACCAGATGGTAAGGGTCTATGATCCAAGCAAAAGATTCAGCCAGTGTATACCTGGCATTCTGACTCTGGCTTCCACTTCTATTTGGTCCTCATTACAGCCTTGGGGGCATATGGAAATAGGTCCAGAGTGGGGCAGGACCTTCTAAATTTTTTTCTTTTCTTTCTTTTTGAGAAGGATGTTGGTACATAGGTCACGCTTAGCGGGTATACCAATCGTTTCTGCTTGGCCTCCAGAGACCTGGGATTAGTATTACAGGCCTGCTCCTTCACAACAGTAGAGCTTAATATCTGGGTTTCTGATATCAAGTTCAAGACTCTCATATAAATGTTAAGAGATTACTTAAGGGCTGCTAGAGTTTCAGCCCAGCTCATTAGATACAAGGGCAATGGGCTCTTCTGCATCCTCACACAGACAGCCATAGGCATCCCCAGTGAGACACTCACCCCAGCTCCCTCTCCAGTTCTCCCCTGGTCTACCTACCGGTACTGGAAGACTGCATGCTGCTTGGAGCAAGAGGGATGGTCGATGGGAATGTCGGCGATGCGGCGATGTCTACCCAGAAGGTAAGCACTCTGCCGATGGATGTACATGACTGGAAGTACCTCATCATTTTTAAAGGGGTAGAGACGCCACCGTTTTTTGGGGATCCGGGCTTCTGGGGGCTCACTGTACTTAATAACCACACCCCGGAAGGTATTGGTGTCCTCAAGAAGTGCCCCAGAAAGTTCAAAGCTTGGTTTTTCTTTAACAGGCACCTCTTTGCTCCTGTTACCGGCAGGGCGAGGGATCACCTCCTGAGCCTCATTGCCAGCACCTTCATTCTGCTGGCGATGCTCCCGGCGCCTGGCATTATGAAAGTCCCTCTCTTCTTCCTGGGCCTGCAGAATCTGGCTGTCTCGGTCCAGACCCTGCCCACTGACAGGCCTCTCACCAGAGCTCCTCCTTTGGCGG